TCATAAAATACTTTGGTAAAAGTTAAAGTCTTCTCTAAAAATATTACTTGAGTAAGTCTTTAAGTATCTGATATTTTTTGTACTTAGGTATCAAAAGTAAATTTCTGACACAAAATCTACTTAAGTATTAAAAGTAAAAGTACTGAGTAAAAGTGAGCAGTTAGATTTTGCAAAATGACATTTATTGGGAGGTGACTTCCCCAAAAAACATTTTTTCTAATGGTGTGCAGCTGTGATGGGTTGTGTACAAGCTNGTGCAGCTGTGATGGGTTGTGTACAAGCTAATAGGGTGTCAGAATGGTATATATTTATACTTCTCATCCAACCACAATTAAATTCACTCTATCCAGGAGACACAATTTATCAGGATAGTATTTTTAAGTAATAACAACTTGGGATAAAATAGGAGTAACGACTTTCTACTTCTTACCTTTTAAAAATGTAGTGAGAAAGTACAGATAATTGTGTAAAAATGTAATGAGTAAAAGTAAAAAGTACGCTGAAAAATAATTACTCAAGTAAAGTACAGATAACCAAAATTTCTACTTAAGTACAGTAACAAAGTATTTGTACTTAGTTACTTTACAACTCTGGCACTGTTACAATAAAGAAATAATCAAGCAAACACAAATTTCCTTTATATTTGGCAGTTTTTTTTACGTAYGCTCAAATATTTTAACTTATTATCAGAGTCTAAAGATCTGTTTTTGCCAGATGASGCTTAAATCACAAGTTACATAAAAGCATGTTTGAAAAAACAATAACAAAAGATGACAATGACGTTTGGCAGTACTTACTGTGAGTGAAGAGCCAGTGAGATAAATGAATAACTGTGAGATCAAACATGTAAAATCAAGCAGGTGATTTGTTTGACAGTCTCCTGGGGGGGACAAAATGAGAAGATGAGGACAAGCAGCTGCGACTCAAGAGATAGATTAGTCATCCGTCAATGAAAAGGTCCAGGGTTTAATTTCCATCTTTCCTGGTACACACTAAAATGTGGGCAGGGTACTGAACCTCACATTGTCCCACTGTGTTCGTTTGTGTGTGACTGATAAGAGCCAAGTGATGGATGCATTGTATACGTGCCTTTTAGTGGCTTGTCAGCTTTGTTTATGCTGGCTTTTTGTTGCCTCACAGAGGATATCTTCAGAATATAACACAAAGAAAAAAAGTAGGATTGTAGTTGTGTCTCAGACTTTTTTTTCTTTTTCTGTATATTTTTTGTGTGACTCAGAATGTTTCCTGCAGTCACTAATTATAGATCATAGATGCTATTGGATGCTTTACCRTAAGAAGTGAGCTGCTCAGACTGCTGTGCTTTTCACAGAACTTTTCTAAACATTGTATTCAAATAAGAGCCAATGCTTCATAACAACATAAGAACTCATAAAGCATTTATGATTTGTGGTCCTTGACACAGTCACTACACCCTGGAACGGTATTTTTTTAGCATTTATGATTTGTGGTCCTTGACACAGTCACTACACCCTGGAACGGTATTTTTTTTATTTCTCTAATTAACAAGTTGCTCATCATTATACACATTCACATGTGTTGTATTTTTCTAAGGCAGTAATGTACTTTGTTAAATCTGTCTCCTTGATCCAGACATCATTACCTATGTATGGTACAATCCACACYGTGGACTGAATAAAGTTTCTTTATCAGCATGTTTCTTTATGTCAGGGGTGCAAGTTTTTTTTTCTTTCCAGGGTGATAATGTCAAGAGCAAATAGATTTAACACTGTTTTTATGCCACAGCTAATACACACTAATGAAGTAAAATGTGGAAAAAAAATCATTGTATTATTGCAACATTCAAGGCTTATTCAAGGATTATCCTTGCTATGTTTTTGAGCAATAAAWTGACAATTTAAACTTTACATTCAAAGTACTCAAAGTACTTGCAATGTGAAATAATTTRAAATGTTATGAAAATAACCTGCTCTGACTTTGCATTTACTCTGTGTACAGGCCAGTGTCTCAATGCTCAAATTAGCTGCTTTCAGTTATGCATGATCATAAATTACTGCTTATCTGAGAATATTCCTTAATTTGTTTTAAATGATGTAAAATATATAGCAGAAAGCAGTATGTGTATGAATGTGTTAATAAGAAGCACTGAAGAACCTGAATGAAGGGCTTCTGAATACATAAATGTGGATCATTTMCAAGTTGGATTTCCACACACTGCTCAACGTTGGTTAAATCTATAACAGCTTGTAATGGAAAATATACCCAAGTTGTTTTTATTTTGGGCTGCGCTCTTTTGCAGAGAGCAGACACTTTTCACCACAGTGAGTAAACTCACTTAAAAGATCTAGCTTTTTTTACACCTCTGATAACCTTTCTTAACCCCTGAACCTCAGGATTACATGTTCACAGCTCTGACCACCAAGCTGTACCAGCCATAATATAGGCTACACAAAATATGTAATAACATGCTGTTGTTCACCTTAGGTTGTTTTTACTTTGTTTTAAAATCTTCTAAGAGCTACGGCTTTTTGTAATGATGCATAATTGTAAAATTTAAAGCGTGTATTTAACTTTAGAAACAAAAGCTAYAGCCTCCAACAAGTACTGGTTAAGACTTATTGACAACTAAACCACCTAATTTGTGACCCATCACATYGAAATGAGGATTAAGTCTAAAAGTGGAATGTGRAAAAATAGGCACATATAATGAATAAATGCCTTATCAATGTATCATTTGCATGAAGTGTCTGAAATAAAATCCTAAAAAACATTTTTGAAGCATTTGTTTAGCAGTAGCAACAAAAAACTTGATTTTGAGGAAAAACGCCTTAAATTTTGAATTTTTCCCTGTGAGCTAGCAATGTTTTTGTTTCTTTCCAACTGAGAAATTTTACCATACAAATACTATATAAGGTTTCCTCTTTATATTAACATCAAAAATTACTCAATAAATTTACAGGATTTAGAACAAACAGTAATGTATCATCGTAACCAACAAGACCAATTAAGTCATATCTCTTGTTCCRTTTATGATATCTGAATGATCCAGATATCAAAATGTAACTTTTAAAGCCAGAAATCGGAAAATGTAGTTAGGCCATTTTGAACAAATTTGACTTAATCCTCATTTCGATATGATGTGTCGCATTTATTCTTGACTTCGACACAGTGGCTGCAGCTTTGATGGTTCCACTTTAATAAGCATTCTTCCACCAAATACACAACTTAAGGCTATGTTAGYGGTGTTACTGTAGTTTAGTTTGCTTACCATCTTGTTTGCACAGCCATTTAAAGATGTTATGGTTTTATGAATGCTAGATCGTGTTCATAAAGAGGTAGGCAGACTGGTGGCTATATGATCAGATGGTGTTGAGGGGACCAAAGGGTGGCAGATAAAACATCCCCCACTACAATTAAAGCAGTATCTCATTGTAAAGTTGATTCAAAGCAGAGTGGATCTGATGATATACCTAAATAAATCCTTTTTTTCCAGTCTGCACAGCTCAAGTCGTGAACCCACTGAGGTTGTAGCAGTACACTCCTGAAAGATTAGCATTTAGTCATTATATTATATTTCTGTTTCCACTTTYCTGAGTTTTGCTCCATGTTTACACGCCCTAATCCATTTTCTCTTTTATTGAAAGTTAATTTAGCTTTTTCTTTATTCGGAAGAGCTTCTTCAATTCCATCACTGACAATAGMATAATTATTCAATCCAGTCCCCCAATCACCCACCGCCCATCACTTACTCACAGTTTTCAGTTGAGTGCTTCTGTCTCTTTGTTTTATTTTAATCTCGTTATACATTGAGATTTTGTTGAAGTTCACTTCAGTTTGTTTATTAAAAGGTACCATGTAACGGCACCAGCTCCATTAGAAATCTCATCTGCACGCTGTTCATTATTTGGCTTATTTACTTAGAGGAAACTGAAATTTATGTGCATGTGTGTGTGTGGGAGGGGGGATAGATCATGCAAGGATAGAATAAAGTAAATGAATTCTGATTTGAATAAAAGTCTGACAAAGTCTAGCATTTTCTAACTAACTAACTAACTATATATATATAAATTCTATGAAGGCAAACAAGACAAATATTAGTTTCAAAGTTTTTGTCAGATGGCATCATCTTCCTCCTCACTGGACACGCTCAGCTGCAGAGTCTTATTTATCCCGTTTGTCACATTCCAGTCCAGCAGGTTTCATGTAGAAATGATGAGTGTGACTTTAACAACAAATAAAGAGTTCCACTGATGAAACTCRGAGAAATTTTCGTTGCTCTACTGGAGCCATACTGTATTTTATTTAGAGGGACATCTGCCTACGGCGGTTAAATTATCTACAACCATAAATTGTGAAGAGTTTCCTGCACACGCAGAGCATCATTATATTTTACATGCTGAACAGCTTCAAGTTTTTGTGGCCTTATTTTATTTGGGAAACAACTACAGCAAGCTTCAACAAGACATCGCTTTGGAGAACTTGCCTTCTTTCTAAGAAATCAAGGTTGAAAAACTAAAGCCAAGCAGAGCTCAGACTGCTGCAAAAATAAACCCTGGATAGTTTTACTGACAACGGTGTATCAAACTTCCTGAGACGTGTGATTTTTGTTCTCCTGAAAACAAGAGCATCTGCACTTTTACGGCATTCAACATCTAAATTGTTTCAGTAACGTGGCACCCAGGGATCACTTTGGTGCAAATTAATTTTTTTGACAATCWTTAAAAAATGGAAAACCACACCCATGCTTTCATAGGAATTGTCCAAACTGATTAGGGGACTTTTTTTTTTTTCTTATAATGTAGCCAACGTGTTTTATAACGCACTCATTTGTGCTCTGTGATCAAACAAAAATAAGAATGGAGTCCTCTTTTTAAAAGAAGAACTAAAAACATGCATATGGATGTTTTTTGCTGACATTGTAAAAATGTAATTTAAATCTGAGCTTTCACCCGTTGAAACCACTACATATTTTTTTGGTTTAAAACATTTTTACATAAAAATRAATAAAATTGACACAAATCACTGTTGTCAAATATAATAATTTTTATTGACCACACCTGAGCACAACATATTTTCTGATAACAGGATGGATTTTACCATAAGATAAGCAGGTGTTGTATTTTACATTTACATTTCTGACMGATGAAAACAAGGAGATGGCTTCTTCATTGTGACCAATTAGTTTACTGTAGATTTTTTATGTGTGTATTTAAAAGACCAGAGTAAAGCAGACATCAGCCTTCACGGTCATGTTTAACAGGACTGTATGACAGTAACAGCAACTGCTGGCAGATGTGTTGCTATGTTTGAACGAGATGCTGCATCAGCAGCAGCTACCTCAACACATTCTGACTACTGTACATCTTTATGTTTRAACGGAAAGCTGAAGTATTGAGCCATCTCGGTATAGTGAGTGCTGTTTATCCCACAACCACKGTGTCATCATCTAGAAACTCGTAGTAGGGAACCTCCAGGTTGAGAGGGGCAGGGCCTTTTCTGATGCGACCCGAGGAATCATAATGAGAGCCATGACATGGGCAGTAGTATCCCCCATAATCACCAGAATTAGCAATAGGCACACAGCCCAGATGCGTGCACACTCCCAGGACAATGAGCCATTTGGGATTCACGACCCGGTCCTTGTCATGCTGAGGGTGTCGTAGCCCGGCGAGGTTGACAGCAGCCTCTGCAGCGATCTCATTCTCAGTGCGGTGACGTACAAACAGAGGTTTACCTCGCCACTTGAAGGTCATGTTACTGCCTTCGGGGATTTTGTTGAGCTTGATTTCGATCTTAGATAAGGCCATGACATCGGCCGAGGCGCTCATAGAGGTCACAAACTTTGTGACCATCGTTTTGGCAGCGTAGACACTCACTACAGCTGTAGCTCCCGTCATCATGTAAGAGAAGACTTTCCTGTGTTCACTGCTGTCCTGCGATGATTTTTGGGGGTCGACCACCTGTGGACGCCTGTACTCGGTGAAGTCTGGTACCTTGATGTCTGTGTGGGCGAATCGGACTCCGGCAGAGCCTGCAAAAAACAATCCATCATCAGTTCAACTGAAGGTATCACTGAGAAAAATAAATACCAACACACACAGAACTAATAACATATCCTCCTTCTATAAAACTGAAACAAACAACTCATGCAATTCAAAATAGTATTACTCTCCTTGTTACTGTACTATATTTTTAAAATTTGGTGTAAGAAACACAGACAAGTGAAATGTACTAAATAAAAATGCAGAAAAAATATCCTCATTGTTGGGGTCAACTAATGTTTAGTGTCTGACAGATTTAAGGGCAGCACTCAAATAAACAAGAATGTAAAATTTAGGTGTCTCAGTTTGAATCGAACTTGGGGCTCTAAGTTTGGTTGCAAATTAATTTTAAATCAAGTGTCCTAAATTTAAGTCCAATGTATGAAAAGAAATTAGAAAAAAAAAAAAAACAATTAAGCATAAAAAACAGACTAATTGTAGTTTGAATATTATGTTATAATTATTAGAGAAATAAAGTTAGAAGTACTATGTTGTGTAATCCTAACAAATGCAATTAGGTTTGTTATAAATGTAAAATGTACTGTTGTTGACAACACTGCAAAGAGTATGTAATCACTGATTTTCAATTATAAACCTTTCTAAATGAATGCATGCACCACTAAACTGAAGTCACTTTGTTTTAATCCTAACAGATATTATAAGCTACATACATCACAAAAAAAAACTATACAGTAAATAGTCTACAGTTTTCTTTTCCTCAATGTTCCCCACATTCAATTTCTTGTGTTCAGGACAAGTCACTGTGTGCTGCAGTAATGCAAAGAACAACAAAACACAGCTATCAGAATAAAACACAAAAACAAAYTTAATAAGCCTGACTAAACTAATGTGTCCTAATGTTCAACCCATTTACACGCCTTCAGTCTAACAACACTGACCCTTGAATGTAGCATCTTGTGCTAACCGCTAGTTAGCCAACAACCTGGTGCATACGTACACAACTAAAACCAAACAGCATAATACGTGGAGAGAATATAAACCACGTGCCTCAAAATCTCGTTTTTCTTTTCAGACACAGCCTGTAGTACTTAACYTAGAATTTTAATGCTTGGAATAAAACGACTCTTAGCTTTGGAGGGTACCACAGTCAATGACACGACTCACCGCTAATGCTAGCTGTTACAGCAGGCCCCGTCTTCGGGCTTTGGCCATTTAGCGACTCGCGGCAAAGGAACGGTTTCTTCGGGTCCATCAACACCTTTTCTCCCTTCATAACAACCCCGGGAACCAGCGCTTTCAGGGGTCCGGCGACTGTAAACGCCGTAGCCTGCATATAAGGGGAAAATGCCCCTGATCGGGCAGCTAGGGACATCATCTTTAACTGCTGCTGTTACAACGACCTTGTTTGAGTGACTTCACTACGCACGCTACGTGCTGGCGGATCTAAACAATCACGTGGCATGCACGCCTTACGTAAAACCAGCCAATGTCAGCACGTTTCGCATTCAAAACAAGTGAAAGTCACAAAAACGCAGTGCATTGCTACCTTTTAAAGTTTTCAGGGTTTTGTAAAAAAAAAAACAAAAAACAGCTATCCAACTTCTACGACAGTGTATTAGTATGGAGGACCGAAACTGACATAATTAGAAAATAAAGTAGATTTATGGATCAATCAATAAACACATTCACTTAAAATGCCCCAATTAAATAATAATAATAATAATA